CGCCTCCCGGAGCATCCGCAGTGCAGCGCACCGGGACGGGGGCAGAGCTCTCCGAACCGCACCGCACCGGGACGGTGTGTCCCTGCTACCCGGAGAACTAGGGGGACACCAGCTCCTGCCCGGCTGCCTCCCCCGGTGACCGAGCCCAGGCAGCCAGAACGGCCACCAGCACGGAGCTGTGCTCCCCCAGCTGCTCCCCGTTGCTCTGCAGCAGCAGGTTGGCCAGCTCAAGGCTGAGTGACTGGAGTCCCCACACTCCAGGAAACAAAGAATGCTCACCTCCAGGGATGGCTGCTGGGCAAAGACAGTGGATGTTCTGTGCGTGAGGAGGTCTAGGCTGTCCATGTATGTGCCATGGGACCACAGACCCTTCTCTCTGTGCATGGATCATAGCAGCTGGCAGGAGAACCAACTGGACCACAGGTAATCATTCAGCTCTGAGCTGACCTCATGCTCTACCAGGTGAGACAGGGCATCCAGACTTGCAGCCAAAGGGGAAAGCATGGCCACCTGCAAGGCCAGTGTAATGCTCTGCTTGAGCAGAGAGATTTCCACTTCCATCATGATCTTCTCAAGCAGTCAGACACTGTGGCAGAGTGAAAGGAGCCCCTGGGCAGAGGGGAAGAGCTCATGGAGGATGGCGTTATGAGAAAAGAACACATCCACAAAAACAGTCTGAACCTTTTGCCATTCAGGGTTGAACTCCTTGAAGACAGTCAGCATTTTCCTAACTCCATGTCCCGTGTCATCCTTCACATGGACAGGTGCACCACTCTCTCCACTCAGTCCTTGCTCTCCACAAGGAAAGCAGAGAGGACTTTTCCATCCTTGCCCAGTGCAGGAGGAGACTCTCAGGGAACTGCTTGAACAAGCACTTCATGTTGCTGGTCTGGAACTGCTGATGGAGCCCAGCAGGTTCTGGTCTGCCCACAGAAAGGTTTAATGACTTTGGCCATCCTGATAAGCACCAAGGCCAAGTCACTCTCCTCTGCTCCCTCAGGGAGCGTGGGAGCCCTGTATGGATCAGGCACCCCATCCTCCATTTGTCCCCTGAGCACATGTGAGTCCTTGCCCACCACAGCACTGCTTTCTGTCCCCTCTGCCTGCCACTTCCAACACGGCTCTGTCACAGGGCTGTCACACACCGTGCTGCCAGTCATCATGGAACACCCCACACCTGGATGGATGTAGTGGCTGTTCAAGTTGCTGATCACGAGCTGGTCCATGTCCTCCTTGTACTGCAGCACAAAATAGGCTGGGCACAAGCTCAACTGCTGCTTTGTACTCTTCTTGCCATATTTTCAGATCCAGACAGAACCAAACTTGGCCTGCATGACCCTGCAAACGTTGAGAAAGCATTAATGAGGGAAGCGGAGGTGGTGCAAGCTGCCAGCATTTAGTTTTGCCTTGTGTGCCAACTCTAACGACCACACAAACCCACACGTGCTAGTCAGACAGATGAACTGGCTGCTCAAGTCTGGGGTAAGAAAGCTCAAACACAGGAGAAACAAAGGAACAAAGTGTCCAGCTACAACCAGACACTACAGAGCAGCCCCACCTCTTGCTCCCAGCTGTGTCTCTGCTTCTGCTCTCCACAAGCAGCAGAGCCAACAATGACAACTCCACACCTGTGTGTTGGTGCCCCTAAAGCACACAGTTCTGCAACTCTGGAGGAGCAGGCTAGAACATGGCAAGAAAGGCTTCGAGGCAGGAGATTATGTTTTAAGAAGGCAAATTATATTTTAAGAGGGCAAAGGGAGCTGTTGTGCAGTTGATGAGTGAATCTGCAGCCTTTGTACATACAAGCAAATCCATCAACTTAGATGGAAAGGAAACAGCATTACCAGACCCACCTTGGAGAAGTGAATAATGTGAAACCAGTGTTCCAAGAGGGAAACCTGGCAGCACCTTTCCACTGCGGTGGATAAGGCCAGCTGGGGAATGCTGACAGATGCCAATACTTGGTGTCTTACCACTTGAGTGGAAAAAGGCAGGAGCTATAGTTAGCCAGCCATGTCCCAGGAAGGTTTCAAAGACCAAACCTACAGGCTTGGCTACAAGAGGCAGAGAGAATAGCTGGACTGAAAGGTTGAGTAAAGCCAAGAGACAGGAGGGCAGAGCACTGTCTGAGGCACAGCGAGAGACAAGTGAAACAACAGGCACACTATGGAAACGGCAGCGTGCGGTACAGCCCAGGGCGCTCCGGTACCGCGGAGGTCACATACGGGATCAGCCCGGTTACCACAGCCTCCTCCCGGACCAGAACCCGCGCCTCGGGGCAGCGCTGGGCTGTGCCTCGACCGGCGGCTCCACCGGGCCTGGCAGTGCCACACCGGAGAGCACCGGGGCAGCA